AAAAATATATCATTATTTTATTAAAAATAATTGAGGATATGTATATTATATAATATTAATTTATTAATTTAAAAAATAATTAATTAATAAAAAATATTATTACTAAAAACAAATGAAAAAAAAAAACATGCAAAGGCGTGCAGGACTTGCCGGTGCAACACCACCACGGAAGCCGAAGACAAACTGCGTCAAGAAGTCATTAACGGTGTTTGTTAGATTTGACGGAAGTTAGTTTTCCGTCCAATTGGGATCTTATTTGAGAATTTCGTGGAGTTTGGGACCTTAATTGAGTGCAATTGAAGTTTGGGTCCAACATTGCGAATTTTGTATAAGTTTGGGTCCTTATGTCATATTTATGCCTTTTTTTAACTAAAATAGCTACCCTTTAAAAAAAAAAAAAACTAAAATAGCTACCTCTTTCGGGAAATATTAATCTTCATGCCTCACTCATTCATTGTTCTGGTCACCAACTATCCCTAGCTATTTGTCCTTTCACATTCATTCAGTCATTCACCTCCCTTCTTCCCTTCACCAACCTCTCACCAACTCTCCTAGACTGGTCCCATCATTACCTTCTACTTAAAAAGAGTAAACAAAATGTATTAAAAAAAAAGTAAACAAAACATGTCAATATCGACTATTTCTATTTTACAGCCTAATTTAACGTATTCTGATTTACAAAATAATTAATAAATTACTCATAAGAAAATTTTTTTTTTTATAGTTATTTGTGTTTATTATTGAACAATTAATATTTCCATCAAATGGGTAAGATATGACATTAATCCAGTAATTAAGAATAGGAACTTATGTTATTATAAACCTTAATAGCATGGGATAAGAGACAATTATTGTTCTTATAAAAAATATTTATTTTCAATTTTTTCTTATATTTTTAGAAGAACAATTCAACTAAAATGTTACTACTTACCACTACTCTCTATGAGTCTCATAATAATTTGTGACAGTAATCATAATTTAACTTTTTTTTTTGCTGTTATGTGAAACAATGAGGTGTGAATTTGAATAAGCATGCATTTATTAACATGATGTTACATAATATTAGATTTTATTATGAATTAATATTGAGATGATATCTTTTTTTTTTCTTTTTGTGTTGAAAATATAAGTTAAAGTTTTAATGTGCATAAAATTGGGTTTCTTCACTGATTTTCTTAAAACTTGTTTATAAATTATTTTTAAAAGTTAAACTTAAATTTTTTTAATAAATCTTTAAATTTGCAACATCTCTAGTCTCACATTAGGATAAAATAAGATGAAAATGTAATTATAATTAGTGTATAAATGTAAAAATCAACCATTATTAATAATTTAAACTTTTAAAAATTTATAAATCTAAACTAAAAAAATTGTTAGGGCAATCACAAGATTTGGGCAAAGTCTTTTTTTTTTTTAAAAAAAAATATAGGGTTACATGTTGAGGGTGTTTAAAGAAGCAAAGGACTTGAAATCAAATCCAATGAAAAATCTCATATGGACAGCAACCACTAACTCTACATCGAGGGTTATTGATCTTTTAAAAATTACTTAATAGAGTAAATATTGAAATAAAAAGATTTCCTTTTAAGCAAACTTATGAACTCTGTGTGAACATGCCCGTAATGATTAATCATGAGATAGCGAAAAGAATGAGGTTTTTTCAT